CTAACAAGTACCAAAATTGAATTGTTTTAATCACTATTATTTATGAAATTTCAAAACTTCAAATACTTTCAAGACCATGGAGGGAATGGGGCAATGGCAACTTCTTCAAATAGTTTCAAGGCCAAGTGGAAGGGAGCAATGGCAAAAGCGGTTAGTCTGGTTTGCTGAAGTGCCAGAGTCAAATGTTGGAGCCTCCAGCAACAGGACCCACTGCACTGCAGAAACCGGTCACCTCCTCCACTTCACCAAAGGCGATCTAGTAACACTTCTGGCATTACGTGCAAGTTTCACACCAGCAGAAAACATGAGTTTTCACTTAGCGGGGAATTTCCATGCATGTAAAGAAGCAGGTTGGTTTGTTGTTTGGTTTTGGGTTGGTTGGGTTTTTTTCCCTGTGGAAGAAACCAAGGAAGTTTCCCATCCAAAAGGAAATTGAAATTTAATTTTTAAATTATCAAGACAAGGGTTCTGAAGTAAAGTTCTGGCAAGAAATTATATTTTTCTAGGGAACTTTGCCCAGCATCCACTGAAGAGTGGACAAACATGATACATTCATGCAAGAGCTGTCATTTTGCATCACTGGATCAGTGTTTCTGCCTGCAGAACTCTTGGACTCTGACTGCTCTCTTCTTCCTCTCCCTTCTTCACACTCTCCACTTAGTTCTTTGTATACTGGTAACTTTGCTACCCCAGCATGAACCTCAAAGGCTGTATAAAAGAATGGTGGTCAAGAGAAGATGCATGAAATCCTGCAGGGAGGTAGCTTCTTGCAGAGAACACTTCCAACCATGCTGTTCCCATGGGGAAAGCTCCCAGGTACCCAACTGGGACACACTGAAAAAGCTGTTGTTGTCCCATCTACCACTGAGTTCCCAGGGAGATGTCACTGCCAGGCTAACAAGCATCGAAGACTTTCTCTCTTGTAACCGGAACTGCGAGATGTGACAGCTGTTCTGCCACAGCACTTGCATCTATTCAGAGATTTGAATGGGAAAAGCTGCTGTGAGGCTTTCCATAAGGGCACAGTGCTAAAGGCTGCGGAATGCTGTGATTTCTGGCACCAAACAGATCTTCCAGTCCCCTACTCCTTAAATTTCTCACTGAATTAAGGGGAATTTAAGTATGTGCTTATGCATTTGGATGAACAGAGAAAGCCTGTTGAATCAAAGGAGCTACTGAGAACAGAATAGAAGCTCTTAAAAATGACTTCCCCCCCAAAAAGAAGTGTCTGTTATTTGTTCCCAAGTCCTTATCTTGTTTGTAACAAAGAACGAACAAATTCCTTTCCCGAGGCTGGATAGTCCTGAAAGCATATCCACAACAAACAGGGACAAAAGTAAGCTTGATTTTAGGCATATTAAATAATCAAATGCTTCTTAGTCTCTTCACTTCTTTCTCTCCCTTTTGTCTTTTTCATTCCTCTGTACACAATAAACCTAAGGTTTTATGGCCTTATCCAAAGTCTGCTGAATTTGATGGAACACTTTGTGTTGGCTTGGATGGGGTCTGGAGCAGACCTGTAGGCAGAGTACTGCAATATCTTTATAAAGTTTTTCATCTACTACCTAGAGAAAGGAATACTAATTATTAAAGTACCGGTCCATCACACAGCCCCCAGGAACTGTCAATATTAATTCTGCTTTGTTACTAAACTTAAAATTACTCTGTTTTCTCTCTGAACTTTCTTAAGGAACATAAAATCTGTGAAGGCTGAATAGGTTTCCAATTTCTAGCTCATTTTTATATAACCTTCAAACCATAATTGCTTCTGAAGCACATTACACACAAAGGTAGGTACACAAACAGTAGTTTCCAAACACCATAATAAAGCATCTTCAAACCGAACATCCCAAACCAGAAGCCCCACGTGGCTGCAATAAGGATGTTTGCTGCTGGTGATTTAGTCACTGTGAGGGCACAGCCTGACACACTGGGGCTGGTAAGGGCTGCACAACTGAGAGGCAGCACAAAGCACTGCCAGGGCAGTACCCCGGCCTCTTTCCCGATAAATCCAGCTGAGTAAGTATATGGCTTTGGTGAGTCAGAGGAATGCAAAATGCCCTTATGCCCTTCTATTTCTATTTCACATGAATGAGCTAGCATATTTTTGCCACGACGGCCCTGACCCAGCTGTCACTGCCATCACGAGGGACTGACCCCGCTGGGGAGTTGCTATGGAGTGCATTTTCATATGTGGGACAAGCTCCTGGTCTCTGTACCACCCAAGTCCCACTGATAGATGCACTGCACTGTCTGACAGTATTTTTCCAGGTCCTTAAGTGCTACCTCAAGCATGTCATACTGGTATTACACAAAACCGAGTCAACGAGAGGCTGTCTGAGCTCAGGTCCCATCCCCATACTAGAAGCAGAGGGGTACAATGGTTCTGATTCACGTATATATTGTTGCAGTACTCAATACACACTTTGAAATCTTAAAGCACATTGTGACTTTTCAGCTAGAACTAAAAGATATCGATACACAGACACATAATGTGCTTTTGCAGAATGACAGAAAAACTGTTCTTTTCATATTACCTCAATGCAAACATGACTGCATTTTGCTTTTGAATAGCTACTGCTCTAAGAGACATATTATCATCAGGTAAATTAACTTTCTACCCATATTTAGTCATTGTAAATAAAAGAAGCAGACTGACCTGAATATTTTTTTTTTCTTCTTTTGGAGTTCGCATGCTTAATACAAAACTAGCAGGTTTAAAATCTCACTGAACATTCTATGTGAATTAACCAGATTCTTGAGTAATGTGGAAAGGAAAATAATGAAAAGTACAGCTTTTCATTTGAACATATGCAGCTCTTTCCATGCAGGGTTTTCTTTTAGGGTTTTTTTTTTTCCCTTTTTTAAATTACACAGCGAGTGTAAACACAGTCTGTAACACTTAGAAAACAGTGCAAATTTTGTAAATTTCTCAAGGAGGTTGAAATACATAGATTTATAATGGAGGTAAAATCACTTTCTTGGTAGAAAAATACATATATTAAACACCTATATGTTTGGAACTTAACTTCACAAAAGAGCAAGTTAGAATTCTATACTGTATATTAAATTAGTATCTTTTCTAGATTTCCATTTTCGGTGTTAGTGTCAAAGGCATAATAATGCTAGAAAAAAAGCAAGAGAACCATTATTATTTAGAACCTAATAAAAATCTTACAGACAATAAGTGGTGTAGAGAGGGCACAGAATGAAGAACCAGGTAAAGAAGCAATGGAAAAGTACCGACCTCTATGAATTATTGCACATTTGAGATCATTCTCATGGCCCTTGGGCCAACTCTGGATACTTTTAAGTCTTAGGTCAGTGTTTGTTTCTGTTTGACTGTAGAGTACAATTTTGGAACCACTGCAAAGGATTTACTGAACTTGTTTGCTGATGAAACCACAGGCAGCTGAGTGCAGAGTGTTAACTTTTATTCATGCAATCAAAGAGAACAATGCTAAAAACATACTGGAATACAGGCAAGGTTGCCTGCCATGAAAATACTTTGGGGAACTTGATGCAGCAGACCTTATTGAGACAAAACTCTCATATCTACCGTGTTTTCATTAAAGCTGTGCCAAAACCTGCAAAACTGGCTTTTGTCTTCATTATTTAGAGCTTTTTCCTTGAATACTCTTATCTCTATGGTCTCACTCTGTAACCTTTAATCAACTGAGTATGGACATCTCTATGAGACATACTGGTCAAAAGAAAACTCGCTGATAGTAATGCCTGATGCTGAGTACCTGTATAACACTTCTCATCCACAAGCAGCAAGAATGCCTCCCATGAAAAATAAATGACAGTAACTTATTTAACTGATGGGATCATTCATATACGTGAGAGATGCAAGACCTTACCAGCTGCTTAAAAAGATCACTTTTCTCTCATTGCACAGAGCAGAAATGTTCCTGCTTCAGCTGTATTTAAAAGGTACACAAACTGACAGGTAGATAGAGAGAACTGTCTCTGGTGATTATCACTGACATTGAAGTCAGACTACCAGTAAACCTGAATAATTTAACATTTTGTCTCTAAATATTGCTGTCATAATTATTTTCTATTGCTGATGTTCTCACAAAAAGGTTAATTCCAAATTGTAAGTACTGATATTGGAAAAAAATCCTATGTAAAATTACATTGCCTTTGCTACAAATCTTAAAAGAGCTCAAGAGATCTTAAGAAATTTCAAATTAATGAATTGACTGACAGATAATTTTTTACTTAAACTCTTTAAAAAAAAGGCATTAAAAATCTGCAAAAAATTGTGAAATACTCTATCCTCTTAAATATCCTCCAATACTCTAGTAAGTTGTTAAATAAAACCACATTGCTAACCATTGACAAGGAATACGACATGCCTTAGTAATAAAATGAAGAGATGCTGATGTAAGCATGATGTGAGACTTATTCTGCAGTAACTGTTACTATGCACTTTACTGATAAAGCTTCATCTGCATTGTTTCATCTGGTCATCTTCTAAAACGTATTTGTGAGACAATGTTACCAGGAGGTTTCCTCCTCCTTCCTTTTGAGAATGATTCACCTCGTGTGGTCTGTGCAGGAGATAATCCTTTTTGTAACATGATTAGAATTTCAAACTGTACTTAAGTCTACAGGAAGAACCCAACAACTTCAGTGTATTTCAAATACTATTACTTAAATATGTATGCATGTTGGAGATCATATACAGTGACCTTTTATCCATCCCAGATTGTAAACCTACTGTAAAATGATGGGTTGTGTTTTTTCTACCCCCCTTCTTTTTAAAGAAGCAATAAAACTGTACATTAAAAGACAGGAAGGACATCACCGAGCTACAAAAGAATGCCCCCTTTGTCATAACCTGTAAATGTAAACAAAAAAGTTCAAGTAGAAAAGCAAACAAGTGTGCCGCTGCTTCAAATATGCTTTCTCACCCCATGGGGTTAGGGCAAAGTTCTTTAAAAACGTGTCTTCATGGTGGTCATGAAGCATCTCAAGAGTTCTGATCTTCACTACCAAATATCACTGGTGAAGCTAAGCTCCTTTGCTGATAAAGGTAGCAATGGGTTGTTCCTGTGCAACTCTTGGGGATCCTTCATGGCAGTGTTAAGAGGTAGCTGTCCATTTAGTAGTGTCAAAGGTATGTTACAGTACGTGTGATGGCTGCTTATGGAAGCTATTGGCAATGTTGCCGCTGACACATCATATTCATATCCTCTGCAATAATGTCTCATATGCACAGAGTCTGCTTGATGGTAATCAGTTAAATCAGCCCGTGATTCTACCAATGTGGCAGAAGTGCCTGTGACAGCAAGAGAGGGTACAGTCTGGAGATCTCCAAAAAGGCCCTGCTCTGCAGAATCCAGGACCTGATGTCGAGATACCACCTCCTTTTTCTTCCCTGGCATTTCAAAGACTAGGCGCTTCCAAAACTTAGAGTTCAGTTTGCTGCTTTTTGGTCCTTTCCACTTGACCACTGAGAGGAGTTTGATGGTGTGCTTTAAAGATTCCACTTCGTGATAATTCACTTTCCCTTTTAATTCAGTACACTCAATCAAAATAACCTTGATTTCTCCACTGACTAGCATATTATGGAGTCTGTTTTCCATCTCAAATATACTCCATCCTCTCCTGAGAACATAGTCTGGAGTTAACACGATAATGAGTCTTCTGCTTTGTTCAACACATCTTGTGAGATCTTCAATGTAGGCTACAAATTATAGAAAGAGAGAAAGAGTAAAGAAGTCTATTGTATCAAAACATCAGGCTTGCAATCAAGTACAACAAAATCCTACAGCTTACTGTTCCATACGATTTAAGACAAGGGGCATTTCACAATATACTCCAACAAAAATAGGATTGTGTATCAAAAGTATTTCTATTTATGGAGTACATCTAGAAAACTCCTAAATAGCACCCTCCATCCTTTACTGTTTTTCTCTTTTCATCACAACAGAATGACATTTACATAATATCCTAACTGTGTAGATGCAGTAGTGACTAAAAATACACAGTTCACTTACTGGAAAAATATAGGTCAAGATCAATGTAATGTTTGTGTAAATTTTAACATTAACTCTGGTTACGATCAACATCGCATTGAGGGAAGCACACTCTGGGAAGCACTTCTTGTGCATCAGATGAAAGGACATGTGGGTGCTGGAGGGTGCATGAACCATAACTGGCAAGAGTCAAAAAGAAATCAACCCTCATCACATGCAGAACTTGTGCTATTGCATAGAAGCATCATGGTAGTAGCTTTCTTCTTTAGGTATTGACCACAAAAGTACAATAACATTCTTTGTGGCCTAATGGTCTGTTTTAATATCACAAACCTGTGCTTCTATGTACCCCATGGTATTAACAGAAATTTCACAAGTGACAGGAACAAATGGAAAACTTAAACATATTAGAGGTATTTATTTGTTGAGACATCAGTGAAAAAGAAAATAGTATTCTTCTTTTATTCATGCATGCCAAGTAGTTGCAAACAATCATTGTAAGTAGAAATGCGAGCCCCATCAGTAGCTCCATGATGTCAGCTTACTGAACCACAAAATACTCTTGAAGTTGGGCTTGGATGCCTGAGTTTCACTTGACCCAGGGATGGCAGGGAAGAGAAGCCAATTACACTTGTCTGCCATGGAACAGGATGGGAAAGAGATCTACTTACAGACCTGACCCAAAACCCATTCAAATGAACAGACTTCAACAAATTTCAGTGGGTTTTGGGTCAAGACCAGAAAAATGAAATCACTTGAAAATAACCCACTAAGGTCAGAAAGTGTTCACTGGTTGCACAACATTATGACTGCAAGCTTAGGGACAGGATATAGGGTTTTTTCAAAACTACATGAACCTCTTGACCATGCTACTCAGAATGTGCCTCCTGACGACAGAAGAGAAGCATGTGTTATAAATGAAGACTTGGACACAAGAGCTGCACAGAACAGATCTTTACTCAGCACAGGGCAGGGCCTCTCTTACACACACTGCCTTCTAGCAGGAACAACAATTACAAATAACATCATTAATCAACATCTGTTACTGCAAGACTCATTTTTATAGTCTTTATAGTTTTTATAGCCAGGCACCATACCACAGCATGCTTATTCACACCACTTCCAGTAAAGTAAATAGCTACAAAATAGCAACAATCTGAAATAGCTTATTTTCATGAGACTAAAGGCATAGTTAGCACCAAATCTGCCTTTACCGATGTTTTATTTCACCACTTAGCAGCAAGAAGAATCTCTTTCACAAATGGAAAAAAGAGGCAATTGCAAACATCCCACAGACACACAAAAATTTAAGACATACACATACATTACAAATGTCTATGCAACAATCCTGACTTTTAGTTAATGTTTTATGACTCTTTAATCATGCAGCATTTACAGTTTGTTTGTTTGTTTTTTTCCTTAAAATATTTTATGAGGAAAACCCCCACATTGCTCTGTGTAAAATAGTTACTCATTAATGAAAAAATTCAACATTAAATCCATGGGAGAGGCAGCGGAAAGGGGAAAGAATCAGCAACAATGAGAAAATGATAAGCAGAACTGGTGAAACAAAACTTAAGGAAAGGTAGAAATGTTCAATACAATGGAAAGAGATTATCCCAATGTATCAACAGCTCAGACTCTTCATTTTCTTCCTTTCTTTCTGCTCCCAAAAAGAAAGAATTTAGGTGGGAAGCTTCATCATTAGAGGTTGAATCTGCAAGATACAGTAAAACAACAAACTATCATGCATCTTTCCTGAGACATATTCATCCCTCCTTCAAAAAAACTCAGAACACTGCTATGTGCAAGTCAATTCTCTGCAGGACACAGTACTGGTCAGTATCACATAGCCAGGTTAGTGCTAAGCACAGCCATGCGTATCCTATATGCATCCACTTGAAAAGAAATAATCCAACAAAACGAACAGTTACTCCACTTTCATCTCTTCAAATATCTAGTGGCAATAATTTCAATAGCAACAACCCAGCAATAATCCATTATACCATCTCAATCAAAAACTCACCAGACTTCACTTTAGTCAGACAGGGAGTAAAGTCGGAAGAAGACAGGAAAAGTTCCCTATTTTCTCAGATGGATACTTCTCCCCTCTGTGCCTCTCCCATACTTTGGGATGCCCACCTTACTGGATATTGCAATAAGTTAGAGCTCTCTCTACAGATAACTCAACAGGCCCCTTCGCAAATGACCACCTGGTGCTCCTTCAAATTCCAAGTTTGCAGCTGGTTCACTGATAGACATGGCCAATGTACAGGGGGTCTGCTAGTGCACTGAGGATAAAATACACTGTGTTATAGGAAACTGGAAACTTAAACAAAAAGTTGAACACATTTTCCAGCCATCTGGTCCAGAAGTACTTAGTACTCCCAATAACTTCAGCTAAAGGTAGGCTTAGATTACTGCTAAAGGTAGGTGACAACTTCCCTGGCATACATGGTTCCATCGGGTGCATTCTACAGCACGTCCAATGTGCACAACTTAAGAATTTCTTCAAGGAAAAGCATGGGGGGACAGATTCCTGTCTGTGTCAATTTAAGCTTTATTTTTTCCAGTGGTTCAAGACTGACTGCATAAACCTGTGGGTTGCTAAATCACCCACTCTCACTTCAGAGTTTGAGACTGCTCAAAATACAGCCGGTTCAGTTGTCCGTCTTAAATGTTCAGTTCATTCGAAGGTATTAAATCCAAGTAATCTATATTGGAATGCAGGATGCAGAAAGGGTTGTTTTCACCTTTCCAGTGGGCTAAGTAGTAATTGTCAGGCAACGGCTCTGTTTCAAGAATAAAACTCAGATTTCAGGAATGACATCACCAACTAGGATCAACTGTAAGATTCCAGACCAACATATTTCCATCAGAAAAATGTCATTTTGCTGAAAATTCACTTTTGCTGCAGGAGGTGTTAACTTCAATGACATTTCATTGTGAGGGGAGAAAAAAAATAGTCTTGACAATCAGTATGGAATTATTAATTTTTAATTCCTAAGGATCGTATTTTATCATAAACTAGAATGTAAAAACAAATGTCAGCATTAAAATTAACCCACCTGATTTTATTGAAAAAATAACATTGTAAATTTTGACACTTTTTTCCCCATTGAAACAATATTTTGCAAAAATGCACAAAAAATGTTTTCAAACTGTTCACATTTCCATAGGTCAAAAAAATTAGAATTATGAGTAGTTCTATCAGTAACTTGGATCATGTCCAATTCAGTGCCCAGGGAGGGACAACAAGAACTTTTTAGACCCATAAACATAGTTTTTGAATGGTTGCCCTTTAGTAGTGAAGACAGATCACCTGACAGCAAATATGTGCTCACCAAACAGTCTCAACATGTAACGACGCAGTTTGAAGCACTGAAGAAGTCCAAGACATGCATCCCATTTGCAATTAAATCATGCATAACTGCCTCCTGAATCTTGAGCGAGCTACACTAACCACAGGCTGGAAGGAAACCCAAATAATCTAATATGCAGGCAGACTAAGAGCAAGAAATTAATCAACACCAGGGACACAGAGTTGCTCACACAAAGAAACGACTGACTAACCAGATTCAGATGATTTGCAGAAGCAGTTGAGGGAGAAACACCAGAAATCTAAAGTCCTACAGATATTTTTGGGAAGCATGGTTGCAGCACCACAAGAAACCAAACAGTACCATCAACTCCATACTCACTGGCTCCTGGCACTAGCCTTTTTGTGTTTGGCAACTATCACTTGAGAAAGTTATTTATAGAAGAATAATTCAGTCCTGGTTTCCTAACCGAATTGTTCCCAAACCCTAACTCTGATTACTTGATTATAACAAAAAGGATTGCATGTCTTGCTTTTACAGTTTATTAAACATTTGTTGCTTCTGTTAACTCACACCAGAACAGCAATGCAGCTGGAATGCTGAAACCCAGAGCAGAGTGATGGCCCCTCCCAGAGAGAACCCAATCACACTATAAGCTAAGGGACAGCTAATGAGTTCAACATGAAGGAACAAATAATGCAGCTCAGCATGATGCACTGTCCTCTCAGCATATCACTCCCTTAAGTGTTGTCAGACTGTGTCTGACATGGCAAAGGAAGGAGGGATTAAGGAGAAGGAAAAGATGGTGGCTCTGGAGATGTCTCCTGGCAGACTGAAGTGCCTCAAGTTGGTAACTTTGGTGAAATTGTTTTGGTGATAGATGTTGGAATCAAGATGCTGGATATTTAGAATCAAAGATTCATAGACTCATACAGATTAGAAGGGGGTTCTGGAGGCCTCCAGGTCAATACCCTGCCCAAAGCAGGACTAGCTAAAATTGCTAAGAGCCTTGTCCAGTACAGTTTTGAAGATCTCCAAGGTTGGAGGTTTATTCTCAGTGTCTCTGGGTTCTGTTCCAGTGTCTGACCACCCTCATGTTGAGGAAAATTTTCCAAATGTTTAAATGGAATTTTCAATGTTGCAGCTGGTACCTATGGCCTCTTGTCAACAACTGTGCACCTCTGAGAAGAGCCTGTCTTCATCTTTGTGACTTCCACTGGAAAGACAATAATAAGATTCCTCCTTGGCTTTGTCTCTGTTCATCTTTTCTTAAAAAAATACAGTTCTTTTGGGCTTTTCTTTTATACTGTGTGCTCTGCCTCCCTGACCACCTTGATGGCCTTCAGTGGGCTGTTACAGGGTAGCCAGTCTTTCCAGCTTTTGTTCGTATTTCTTCCAATTTCAACTGTCATTCCTTTTTGTCCCTGCGACCTTCACCTATGCCTGGCATGAAGTCCAAGATTCATATAGAGTAGACAACCAGGGACTTCTGAAAGGAGTGTGTGGAGCCGAGTACTCTATTCCCATTCCACATAAATGGTGCCTCATACCTAATTAAGGCTCCTTGGGAACCCCAGGCACATAGTCCAACTGGGTTTTCATCATCCAGAAATCCAAGAAGCTGGAATTCACCCATACATATGGGCAGACAAAACTACAAAGCGCCAGAACTGCAACATTGGCCGCTGGGTGCTTTTTATCACACGCCTGAGGTGCTCTCCTCTTGTGCAGACAACCTTTCATTTTTCAGGTAAAAGCAAAGATTTTTATTCTGTCACCATTGTTCTTTTCAGTGCCTGAACTCTGTACCCTGGGCTGAGCTGGAGTGAACCGCTGGTGTTTTTTCCATCCTGTCAAGATCAAATGCACGTATGCTTTAGAGAGCAGCTAGATGATGCTCTCACAGATTTGTATGGCTGGTATTAAAACCCAACTTGATAGTTTTGACCTCTTCACTTTCAGAGTTTAAAATAATTTGCAGAAACTATGTGGGAGAAAAATCTTCCTCTAATGTAGTCCCAATTTTAGAAAAGTTAAGTGCAAATAGATCCTTTTCTCTGCAGACACATTATCTGTAGCAAGACAGAAAATGGCTCAGGTAAAAACATACCTTCCTATTCGTCCCCACCCCCATCTATTCAGCCTCCTCAGATCTCCTAAAACTGAATTTAAAAGCTTACAGGGCTTGAGAGTGCTTGCTGAGGGAAACGGTTTGTTAAAGAAGCCCTGAAAACTAATAGGGTGGAAAAACTGGTAACTAAGAAACTTCAGTAACAACTGCAACTGTATCTTAGGGATCACAGTCTCCAGGCTAATGCTCAATTATGCCTTAGTGACATAGGCAGAAAGGCATATGTGCTGTCCGGTTTGACAGAATGAAGAACACTCACTCTGTTAAGACCAAAGAACACTCTTCAAGAAAGAATAGCTGTTACGGCACTTTCTATAACATACAACCGAAATTCTGGGCTACAAACTTGGTCTCGCTGCTTACACAGCACACTGCATGTCATGTCTCCCTGCTGTCCCACCCCTGTCATCTTGCATTCTGCAGGGCCACATGGGCTTCTGCAGGAGTGAGAGCAGAGAAGTGGTGGCTGCTTTAGCCCCTTTTCCACCTCACCAGTCTGGGGAGCCAAGTCCACCTGGGCTGTGCTCAGGCAGCACTAAGAGTTACTGCAAAGGTCCTTGCTGGCCACCACGTAGTAGGCACCGCTAAGGCCCTTGGAATCCTTCATCGTGGTTTACCCACTAGGACCAAATGCTCCACTAGGGTAACATTTGTACCCTGGCAGGGCACAGAAACAAACACCTACTGCAAAATATGACTCAGCCTCATCTGACCTGAACTCTGGATGCCAGAGATCTGCCTCTCCCAAGGGTACAAAGGAGGTCTGAGTCCCCACAGCCATCACCTCTGTCCTCCTACAGAGGGACAGCAACAGTTGCTCCATAGGCATCCCTGAAACAGATGTTCCTCAGCGCAGAGCTGAAATGCAGAGCTCAGATACACATTGTGAAGGAGCTCGTTGCTGGCGTGTGTGTCCTAGCTAAGGCACATCTGGCTATAATCTCTCCCTCGGCTGCATGGGGACATCCAGAACCTATCATAGCTTTTCCCCAGAGGTTAGAAATGCACCAGCTGGACAAAGACATAATCAAACTTGTCCCAAATTTTTCTGAAGCCAGCTTTTTAGTTTGTTCAGAGAAGTGTGCAAGAAAGTTAAAGAAATACTATTTAACAAATCTGTTTTTTGCTTGCTCTCAAATCCAAGCAGCAGCTGTATGTATTGCTTCACGCAAGGAACTAAGCACAATAATGCACACCCTCCTGTGGCAGCACCTTAAAATTGCAGAGATTATACGAAACCACCAGCCTTACAAAACACAGCTAATTTACTGCACTCTGCTAGTGGAATGGCACACATTTAAGTTCCTAAGATATAGAAGGAAACACATCAAAACAGAGAGAGGGAAAGCATCACATTACACTGAAAGTCATTTACGCCAAAATACAAGGAAATCCACTACATGTGAGAAGAGATTATTTCCTAAAATAAAAAGATAACTGTGATCAAACCCTCATTTTTCTATCGGAATCTACCCTGAAGAGCTATATAGTTTGCCATATCTGCCACTTTTTGAGACAGTCACTCTAAAGTATATTATGTTTACCTCTGAAGTGTCTAGCAAGTCCACACCAAATCACACTGTTTGCTCTCTTCACTAAGCACTGCAAGACCTTGTAAGACTGGTGAGCTTTAGGCAGAACACGGCCACATTCCACTTTTCCAGAGCAAATAAGAGAGCTTACAAATACAGGAGTCTGAGTCTTCCCCTCCTTCCCATTCCCTCTCCCTCTTGCCCCTTCAACATAAAGTGCCTCCTCCTATATCTTTTTCAAAGCTAAAGCATGCAAATCACACTCATTTCAGTTCCATGTTTTATTCTCCATTGTCATTATATCTGATTAAGCGTTCTTGAAGCTCCGTGTGTTAGAATCAGGCCCTTTCATAACACTGAAGAAGTGAGCTTGAGAGGAAAAAGGAGGTATTAAATCCATGAATGTTCATAAATGAGAACTGACATTTTCAGGTACCCTACATTTTCAGGAGAGGTTTAATGAATACCCAAAGTGATGACAAGTATTTGCTGAGTGTCTGACTGACAAAAATAGACAAAAATAAAATACCATACTGTCTAGTACAGCAACTGGGAAGAAGAATCTCATTTCAGATTAGTCTGTGCTTTGGTATAGCTATCACTGAAGGGCTAGTTTTAAACTCCTTAATTCACTTGTATAATTGCTACATATAACTCTGCTATATTGTTGGATATGAAATAACTGCTTACAACAGTTGTGTGATTTTTGACACAGAAAGATCTATTTTCACTTAATAATATCTAAAACTACTTGCTTGTACAGAAGGCTTGTACAGAGACTATGAGCCAAGTCTCCTTTCTGGAATATGTCACTAAGGGAGTAGACCTCAGACCTTGCAGGTGTAGGGCAAAAAGAATGAGAGAAGCCGCTCTAACTTAGGAGCTGTAAATGCACAGGATAAATTCAAGCCTCTACACAGGACTTTGGATGATCTCTGCCTAGGCTCTGACTCCCCTCTCCCAGTGGTGGAGGATTCAGAGCGCTGTTTCTAGCTCCCTCAGATGTCAGAGAAGCAGGCTCCAACTTCCGGGGAAGGCACTGGGGTTTGGCAGCAGCAAGGCAGCAGTTTCAAGTCTTTTGGCAGGCAGGTTGCTAACGCAGCCGTGTTCTAGCTGTTTCATGTTTGGGGACATCTGCTCCAGTATGGCCATTGCTTTGTTTTCCTGGTCGTATTTCCTATACGGTAGCATTATACAGAGAGAAGTTCGTATTCTTTTCTAGTATTTTTCATGGAAGTGATTTACACAGAATTTGTTTAAAAAAGCTTATTTTTCACAAGAGTAGAATTTCAAATAAATGTGATATTAACGCAAACATACTGTGCATTCAAAATCACCATCACAATGCATGTGACTCACAGTCTTTTTTGACTTGTCCAAAAACGAATCTGGAAGAAGAGACACCATAACTACGGCTCGAAAGGCATTAACTGTTGGTACAGTCATCAAAAGGAGCTGCTGCATCTTCAGACATGGCAGCCAAACTGATTTGAAATGGACAACTGTATTTCACAATCAGCATGGAAAATAGCTTTGGATCACTAGGCTGTACGTATTTCTCTGTAGAATTGGTATCACAAATACCAATTATTTACACAATACCAACACTGCTCAGAAATGCAACACTTGGTCAAAAGTCTAATGAAAACCTTGCACTCATTTACTGAGAAACTACTGTTGCTACTTACGAGACTTCAAAATCAGGGAAAAAAACAGAAGACTATAGGAAAGATGACTTTTACGTATAAAGCTGCTGTAGACAAGCAAATAATTACTGGGGGGGGGGGGGGTGAGAAATCCAATTTCCAATGATAAAACAGACTAGAAAACCTTTTTTTGAAGTTTCCTGCTTAGCTACCTGTGTTTGATATAGAGATTTGGGACTACAGTATTGTTTGCAGCACACCAGCCTTCCCTATAGGAAGGTCCAGCTCCTGCCTCCACTGCAATCAATGGCAGTTCCCTCTGATTTCACTGGTGCAGGAACAAACTCTCACCTAGAGCTCAAATTTGCAGTACTAAGGAAACCTTTCCCAGTTTCCCCTATCTAGTACTTATCACACAGTCCAGGCCTTCATGACACATCAGAGAGAATTAAAACTGAAAGGTCAGAAATACCTACTTCCACTAGGGATCAGGTCCCTATCCGGAATGAAGAGCTTATATCCATAATGCTTTTCTAGAACATCTGGCAGAATTTCAAGTGCAAACTGCTCCTCTTCATTATTATCACAATCTAACGCATCGGGATCCACTTTGGTGTATGAAAGATATGCATCATATTCCTTGTTGTCTGTAAGAAAACAAATTCATGTTCAGCCTGCTGTTTGCAAGAGCACTAAAGAAATACAGAGAAATTATATTATTCTTTGAAATGATCAAGCATTTCCCAACAAAATTGTGATTTTTCACAATATATATGATCTAGTTTCCATAGAGAAATTTTTTGGGTCCAGACAAAGGACATCCTTTCAGTTTTCTTCTGCACATTGAGCTAGTTAGTAACTGCTCCATGTGGTCAGTGTACACATTTCACATCTGAACAGACTGTGGGCAAAATTTTGATACAAATCCTAAAGCTGGAACTTTTTATTTTAATCCTTTACATACTGCTAATGGGAATCTTTCAACTCCCGTGCCTCAAGAGTGCTGGGATTATATGGAAGTTTTGAGCTTGGAAAGGTTTCCAAGCCTAGAAAGTTTGTAAAGTTGTGTGCAAAGAAAACTTTCTTGCACGAATAATTGTGAGAAAAGACATGAGTTAACTCAAATGAATACTGATTATGCAGAAATCAATGCTAAATACAAACAGTCCAAACCTTCCACCACTCCCCACCCCCCCATCTTGAAGTTTTAAAAACCAACACCATAATTTTAGAGATCACTTGATCCAGAATATTTTAAATACTTGGAGCTCACAATATGAGAGAAAGAAGTAACTCCGAAAGTAAATAGGGGCAGCAGGACACTTGCTTCTCCATTCTGCCTGCAGCTCAGGGGTGTAGGCAAAGCCTCATCATAAGCTGGAGGCAGGCAGTGGGTGAGAGAGGAGACCCAGGTAACACCACATGACAACAGCGGGGCTGTAACACACTGGTTTGGGTAGAAAGGGCAAACACAACCTCCTCCTCCTGCACCGCACTGGGGCTTATCTCCAGCTCCCTGCATCTGAAACATGGAGCTAAGAGATGGCGACTATGCCAGAACAGAAGTGGCACCACTATTGAGCTTAGGATCCATGCTGGAATCAGACTTGGTGACATTTCTCTTTGCTCTTCCTCTGCAGTAATGGAAAAGATTATATTGAAAAAGTCAACCTTCAGCAATTCAGTCTCCAGGGAAAAGCACAGCTGCCATTATTTACAGACAATGAAAAACCAAATAGTTAATGTTGTGAGGACAAAACTGCATGAATAGAGGATTGGCGACTATCAATTATCTATAAAGAATAATGCACATGAAAGATAATTAAAGCAGTTAAAAATCCTTAATATGTTCTAATAAAAAGAAAAAGAGCTGTTCGTAATACAATGCATCCCTTTATGACCTTGGAATATGATTACTTTCTTATAATGCTTGACACAAAGCCAGGCAGACCCATGAAGGTCACAGCTACAAAGCATGTGAAGGCAATTTGGCCAGTGTCACCATAGCTGATGTCCACCTGGCTTGCTGATACCTCTTTGAAATCAACAGCATGCAAAAATAGCAGTTACTGATGGAAAGATGACAGAACAAACAGTAAAGTCAGCTTTGGACGCCTGTCCAAAACCTGCTACCCTGTCCATAATGAAGCCTGATAAAACCTTTTAAGAGAAGCCAGACATCAAGTGATCCAGGCAGCAAACATTCCTGCAGAGGCTGCAAAACGAACCCCAGAGCACTGACATGCCTGGTTATAATTGTGTGCAGGCAGTCCCTCAGCTTCCTGCCCCTTCCAGCTGCATGGGTACAACTGCCTTCTGCAGTCACCTTGATTCACAGTACAAATAAGCAAAATATGCACAGAACCAGATACCCCAGGCTCCTGTGAGTCTGCACACTTGTGTTACATCTCTACAGCCTCAACTCCCTCTTCACAAGCTTCACATACACAGGGCATAGCAGAAGGACCTATCCATGCCTTCCGCTGCTTGCTCCATGTGCTTTGGGTGCGGCACTGCTTGGAGCCATTTCCTGAATGGTTTTGCTTAATCCTTAGCATCATTTTCTTTAAAAACAATGCTACACACAACACAGGAAGTTAGTGCATCCAATATTGCTTACATAGGATATTTTTAGAAATAGGAATAAAGCAAATCTGTTGAGTTCCAAATCTTCTGTTTTAAAGAAACACATGTATAAATGGAAAATGACCCTGCAATTGCATCTATACAGCTGACTGCTCATGGGAGCTCTGTATGTTCCCACTTTAGTCTACATAAGTAGAAAGAAACATCCCCAATTGACTTCGGTAACATTCTGCCTCCATCTTCCATTCTGCAGGATCAGAATGGGAAACAAAGCTACGATAGTACTAAAATCACGCACTAGAAAAATAAAGTTGTTTTCAGAATTAACATGCACACAAATTCCCCTATGTACTCATGGGGCTTCCTCTATGCAACTAGAAAATAATATTGTTTCATAAATTAAAAAGTGATTGAATCAAGGAAGTTACATGAATAAAAATGTAGCAACTTCACATTGAAAACATGAGATAAATGAATCAAAGCAATTTGGAGGGAGTTACCAATTTGGGTTACTATTTGTTGGTGTGAATCAGTGAGGTTATGTTGGTACAATCCCAAGGTGCTAGCAGTAAATTACTTCCAAAATCACATAATTTCACCCTTCACTTTCTCCCAGGTATCAGTATAAATACTATGCAGTACTGTACAGTATTAAAAAAGCATCATTTTAGGTTTTCCCACTCACACCTGAAGATCGAGAAGGAAGTTTCCAGTAATCTATTCCTGCTTTTTTTTTCCACATTCTAAAATCCCGAGTGATATTCCACCCCTTCGCCAAACTCCTATGGATTTCATTGTAGCAAAACGTTTTCACGCCGTATCTACCCAGTGTTAAACTGAGACATTTATTGTTTTAATAGCAGTAATGCTAACTGCAGAAAGTAGCATGGCTCTGCAACTGCACATTGCTTTGGCACAAAAGGGAGATGTGTGCCCTGCTCTTGTTTCAATCACATTATTGTTCCTAGACACACCATTCCAGACCGCCTATGATAAATGTTGCAGTGGGCTATGAGAAGTACATGTACTTGAATACTGTACTTCAGATCTTTAGCAGATATTAGTTACATGCATATTGATAATTTATTATTTATGACATAATAGAAATGTTAAAAATAGGATTTAAAGCACTTGGATTTAGTTTACCAGGCCTAACTCAAGCTTCATAGTTTTTTTTCAGGAATGTTCTATATTCAGGAGAATTAAACCTTCAATTTAAAAATACATGTTTAGCTTTAGGCACTAAACAAAATATATGCCAGTGAGAGGGAAGTGGGAAGGAAGAACTCCGTACGTTTCCACTAAGTTGTTTGCAGTCCCCCAGTTAACTGAGGTAACTAGTCAGCCTCAATAACAATCACCTCTCACTAGTTATTGGAGTTAGCAGCATGAAAACAATTCAATGGAAATGTTTAATGAAAAATGCCTGGTGAAAGGGCTGTCCACATGTAGCATGGATCTCGGGAGAAGTGATTCTGGGCATATGTGCCACAGGGACACACAAATGTGAAGAGTTCTCCTGAGGAATCAGTTCACAAATGACATTCAAGCCTCTATAGCAGAGTTGTGAACAATTCTTCTGACTCCCATTTGCTTATGGCATGACCCAGTGACATTTCAGTGAAAAGACTCATTGATTTCAGGGGGCTTTGGGAGAAAGTCTTAGGGCTTTACACTGCTGGGGCTTAGTTTGAACTTAAACTGGCAGCAGGTATCTCTTGGGATTCATTTCAATCTACAAGTTTCACCACTTTGGGTCTATGAAATATTTCCATTGCATATCTTGAGTTTCCTGAGCAACTGCTTACCATCAGCTGCTTCATCTCCTCCAAAGTTCTGTCTGTAAAAGAGCATTAACTCTATGTTGTAGCACTTATAGATGGTCACGAGCAAAATAAGCAGAAGAAGGATGGCTCCCAGTCCTCCAGCAAGCTCTATTTTGTAGATCAAGTCTGAAATTAGCAAGTAAAGAGAAAAAGGTTACGATCTTTCCAAGCTTTATTTGCTCTAGTCCACTGTACAATTCCACATAAAATTGTGCAGCTTCCAATCACAACCACTGTAACGTTAAGGATACCTAATGTTTATATTCATTGCCTATTACTTAACTTTACCCATTTACTCCATCTACTGTCCATGTGAAATCACCATCCAGAATGCATTTGAGGCTATAATCAAGAGAAATATGTAGTGATTTTACACAGAGGATTAATCAACTTTTAATGAGCTTGTGAGTTTGAAACTTCTCTACTGGCAGAGCACATCAAATGCATGTGAGAATAGATATTCTAGACATATTGTACCCCATTTGGGAGGCTGTATTCCCCCCAAAATTGTCAAGCTTTGGTTTTATATTTGTGAAGTCAGTGGATGAGCTGATGTGCACTGCCAAACCAGGACTTCGGTTGAATCACTGGAGAATGAATTGAGCATCCAGAATGACCAAGATAACTTGAGAAGTGAGGAGCACGTATCAGGCTGCTAAGAGCCACTTAGTTTGAGTTGTGATGGCTTACTAACGGAGTTATCACATGTTTGGTTAGTACACATTATACTTTGATGGGAATGAGTTGTGATGGCTTACTAACAGAGTTATCACGTGTTTCTTTAGTACACATTATACTTTGATGGGAACTAGTGCTAGTTAAAATTTCCTACTGGGATGCTTTTGTTAGGAAACATCACAGACAGTCTGCCTCAAAGAACTTCACAAATTCATCCAAACTCAATTATCCATCTTTCACATCTGGGGAAACAGAGGCATAGAGAAGTGCAACAACATGCTCAATGTCATTCAGCAAACCAATGCCAGAATGGGATAAAACAACTTGAATACCAGTCCAGCACTCTACCTGATGTAAGACACCAACTTTAACAGCGTTGTTTTTTAGTCTGGAATGTCCCCTGAACACAATATTGCTCATAACATCATTTGACATATTAGTCAGCCACAAAAGACAGAAGATGACAATTTGACAATAGCTACCTCTAACAGCCTATATTAGTTTAGATAAGACATGATATTTACTGCTACGATAAATACAGTGTGAAAATGTAAAAACTGTAATACAGGCAAGATGTTTTTTGTGATCTTTACACTTCTAAAACTTAGGTCATAAAAACTTACTGGTATGTCATTTGTGTCATTTTCAAGATAAAAAGCAAATTAGCTGTGTATCTTTTGGGGTTATTCTTGTCTCATCATGCCTTGGATTTCAATAATTAACATCAAATGTCAAGCTATTCCCAGTTTACAGTATCTCTGATGTCTGTCTGGTAAGAAGTCATGGACTAATAGATGGAAAAAGTCTATTACAATAGCTATTTAATCTCCCTGAGAACTCTGTCTTTGCATTGGCACCCTTGAGTGTTTGAAGCTGGATTTGGTTCTTTTTCCGTTAAAAAAACCTAACCAAATAAAACCCCCAATATCCTAAGTGATGCTGTATGTTCTGGGGCTATCACTACCCTGGTAGGGTGCAGCCCCTGGTGCTGCACAGGCAGCACTCTTCTATTCTCCAGAAGCATTTGTGAGGACAATACCACTAATACAGCAGAAGACTTCAACAGATTTTACCTTAAATGTTTGAAAAGTTCCTTTTTCTTCCTTAAAGCAAAGTATGTGCTTAAAAATAGCCACCTGATGTCAAGATAAGAACTAACTCTAGAAAGTCTCATACTTACAGCTGTAACTTGGAGTTGGGGTTTATTCCTGTTTCTCTATCCAAACCTTCCTAGGAGGACTCATGACTTATGCTAGCTTGTTTACACCTGATGCACTGCAATCACACCTTTGAACAGGGGGCAGACATAACCTTCAGCAATTTGACAACCTGGAGACAAAATGAAGCTGCAAATACCTCTTGCCAAACAGCAATAATGCAGCCCTCACCACAAAAGACTTTGGAGGGAGGGGGATTTCCCTGGCTGAAAGATCTGTGCTTCCTCTTCACCTTTCCCAAGTACCTCAGCATCTGGAAAGCTGCAGCACATGACAATAGAAATCCATGATCCCTTCTTTGACACGCACAGAGGATGCTGGTCAGCAGCTTTATACCAGTCTTGCCCTAAACCTTGTCACAGGGCAGTAAATACAGCAGTATTTCCCGGCTCATGAATATTCTACAGTCAAATCCAAGCTGGAGAAAGCTAGGATAATAAGAATCTATATAAAGTTGCAGGAAGGCAAAGTTTGGTCAAGTATTTGTAAGAATTTCATAAATAACAAACAGGACAGTGGGACATGCAGTCAAAGGACACAGTGAAAATACTGTGGTTATTTTAAATGACACTTTAATAGCTTGAAAACAACTATTAAGAATGCCTGAGAGGAATATAAGCTTTCTACAGCCACAGTGCAGAGATAAATGAAATAGCAGCTGAGAAGTAATCCCTTCCACCTCCAAATTCTGCATTCAGCAGCTTCTTCCGTAATTTCAGAAAAGGTCTGAAATATCCACATTTTCTTGCTATAAATAAACCTAACCTGTTATTCTAATATATGCAACACAATTGAACATTTGACAGTGTCAACATAGATACACTTACTATCAGCTGTATATTCATGAGGCTCAGTGGATGGAAAGGTAAAATGTTTTTTGCACTAAAGAGGCTAATCCTTCATCATGATGACCAGATTCCTTAATTTAAGCTGTGACATCCTGTCAGTTTAGATGTTGAATATACCTTCGTGTGTGTTCCAAACCCCAGCTGTGGGCCTTTGTTTCTCAGAGCTAATGGTACCTTTTGTATTGTGTTTTATCTTTATCCCTCAGTGTAAAATATAACCTACATTATGCCCTTCTTTCTGGGAGGACATAAACCTCTCACATATAGAGGAAACTGCAAGTAGGACTTGATTCATAGAATCATAGAATAGTTTTGGTTGGAAGGGACCTTCAAAGGTCATCTAGTCCCTCCCCTTGCAACGAGCCGGGACATTTCAACTACATCAGGTTGCTTATAACCCTCATTGTAAAGACTTATTTTGACAAGACTGCATACTGTATTTTCACATACATAATCTGTGGGTCACATGAAAGGTAGCAAAAAAAGAGGACATTGACCCCAAAGTTTCCTCTCCCTAGCAGCCTTTTTTTGTCCCAATACCACCCCACCCTCACCTTTCATTTTATATAGATTCTAGCCATGAAACACAGCACTTAGAATCCAGCATGGCTGTAGGTGAACAAATGACTATGGAAATTTTCCAGAACTGCAGTGCCCCATCTAGAGAGGCCTTGGCTGGTCTTCCTGATCTTCCACCTGAGTCCTGATTCATCTGTCCTATGGTGATGAGGGCAATCTGCAGCATGCTTAAGAACTAATAGTATATTTAAACCTTCTCCATATGCCAACACTTTTGTGGACTTTGCTGCAACTGTGATGGAGAGCACTGGCTTTTTTAACTGACACTAACACTGCAATCCACAATCTGCTCAGAAACACACCCTTTGCCTTAGTGGTCTGAAGGTGCACAAAGGACTGGAACAGCACGAGGTGTACATCATGAAAACATTTCTTCTTCTCTTCTGAGAAGTTAATTTAGAGCCAAGAATAATGGTAGAGATCTAGACAATGTATTCATTAGTCCATCTCCTGTGCTGATGGTCTGTGGTTTCGCATTACATCTTTATCCTGAGTCCGTTACCTTCCTTTGCTTTCCTAACAGTTACTGTCTTACTGCTTTTGTACTACCTAGTATACTGTATCTTAGATTATTATCAAATTTAAGTGTCACCCTAGTTATGAACAGGAGAGGTGACAGAACAAACAACATAAGAACTGTAAAGAGATACTGTTACACTCCTTATGATAATGACTTCTACAACCAGCAGAGCATAGTAGCACCTTTTAATTTGGAACTTTCAAATCCAAATGGTTTCCTTTCTGCTAAGGATAACTTGTCAGTAGTGGTATTCCCAATTCCAGGTACAATACCAAGCAAAACAACCATAATGGGGTAATTGTCCACTGACCTGCAATGCTTTCATTCCAAATGCAGTTAGAAATCAAAAAGCATTCTAAGCATGTAAAGCTTTAAATTTAAACAGTAAAGCCAGGAAGTGGAAAAACATAATAACATCTGACCTCACTGCTAAAGCACCTATTCTAACTCCATCACAAAATTACCTCTGGTCTAGTCAGTCAACTCTAGGTCCAACTTAGAGGTTGTTTAGATAAAAATACTTCCGCTGATTATATTGGTGTTTTATGGGTGACTGTATTCAGGCAAGTGCACCACGTGTGAGGCTGCTTCACTAGAAACTAAAGAACAAATCATGAATTTTTTTCACAAGTGGTAAACTGAAGCTGTAACACAAAGACATTTCAGCTCCAAGTAGGCCCACAGGAGTCCAGCCTGGCTCAGAGAGGTCAGCAGGACGTTTGTTACTGGCTGAGCTGTTGCTGCTGAGGCAGACGAGAGTACAGATAATGAAATAAGGAGAATTACCTTTCTTGCGCAGAAGAACACTGGCATGTTTTCGTCCGTTTCTGTTTTCCACATGACATGTATAGTTAGCCAGGTCTGCCTCCTCTACAGCATCAAAGATCAATGTCAATTCAACTTCTTTTTCTCCGAGATGTTCTCTGAGGAGTCTGAAAGGAAGGATACAGTCATTGCTTAACTGAATTAGTAAGTGTAGAAGATTCCCAAAAGAACCATGATTTCTCTGCAGAAGATGCAGAGTTCCCAGCCTCCTTCGTTCTGGAGATGGCCTTAGAAGAAGGCTCAAGTTGCCTGACAGAGACTTCACAAAGGCATCTTCATGACAAGCAAATCCTTCTTCTCTTTTCATGTCTGTAGCAAGGAGCTGAATCAAGTGCAGGAAGAGTGGCTAGAAGTGCAATGGTTGCATGTGGCCTGTTTACCTCAGCTGCAGCAGAATTCAATGCTAAAAACAATATTCATTTTAAAAGAAGCAGTAAATACTCACTTTCCAGAGAAGTAAATATGCACTACTAAGCCATTGCTGAGCAAATTAAAAGGCAACATTTTAACAGCTGGGTACTGTGATGGATTTTAATGCAGTCTGGAAAACCAATGAAAGGAGCTGTGGAATTTTCCTCTATTTTGGGGTGCTAGATCCTGGCTTTAAAAGGTAAATAACAAGAGTTGTCTGCTCCTTTGAGAGGACAGAGAAGATACACAAAATCCCCACAAAGAGAATAGAAAGTTCTAGCAGACTTTCAGGCCAGAGGTACAGTCTTTTTATGTCATTGTTCTAATGCAAACATTAAAAAGAATGCAAAGTAAATGCAAGTGTTTTCTGATGCTGACATAAAGTCTAAAAATACAATGGCCTATTCTCTCAAAAGACTTATCAGTTGCTCAAGAAAAGTTTCTGGAAACGTAACATCAGGTAAAATCTACCAGATTCATTTGATCCTCTTAGTGTTCTTCTGCATAATGTGCAAGGGTGTAGACATAAAATGCATGGTGCCCTTGAAGTTGCCTGTGAACTCACCATCGCACATGGTACTTCAGTGAGTCTTTTCTCTGAAAAGATAAGTGTACAGCACTAAGACAGCAATAAGACCTGG